TTTTTATGCGTTTTTTGCAGCTATCCAATGAGAAAACACATATTGACTAGAGGTTGTCTGTGTGTGTCTGTGTGTGTGCTGGGCCTCTGTACCGATTTTTCATCCTGAGACCTACAAAAGCCATAAGACTGAAAATTTGGGAACTTAATCCACATGCATGTATGGGCCCCCATCTCCAAAATAGGCGGTCTCACCCGCGTGGTAACTACGTATGGGACCGCGAAAATTTTTTTCGGGTAAGTCGCTAACTCGGGAACTTGGAGAGTTAGAAGATTGTAATTTTAAGGGAATTTGCCCCATTCACGTAGATATTAACGAACTCAAACCTAGCCCCCGGGTATAAGTCATTTCCACGTACAGTCCTGTCAAAGTTTTTTTTCGGGTAAGTTGCTAACTGATGAACCTGAGAAGCTAGAAGAATGGAACTTTGAAGGGATGCTTCCTGATAGTTCTGGCGGCCAGTATGAAATTTTTTTAGCTAGAAACATCTGCCGGAAAAAATAGTGCCGTTAGCGACAAAAATCTGCATGCGAAAAACGCATCTTCGCACGGGTGGTCCGTGCGTTGGCCAATTGCTATTTCTGACGCAACGGCGGCTTTACAATACTGTGCTTAAATTTCAAAAACTATCTTCTGGTATATCATGGCCAAGAGTTTTCAGAAAATCAGTATGGGAAACAGGCGTCAGTGATTGTTGTCGGCCTCGCACTACTGAACTTACAAATAAAAGCTTGAGGAAATATCTTTTGATATACCCGGACCTAGTCTATTCAATCAGTCAATATGGAAATTCGATGTTAGTGATATTGCTAAAGTGCTCTTGTACGTCGGACGTAGCTTCAGGCAAACTTGCCCCAGAATCTTTGACTGTTAAAATATTCAAAAGTTTCGTTCCAGAAAATTTTAGTTGCGCTTTGATGTGAAAAAATTTTTAAGTTTATACAGCAACATCATCATACCATTTAGAATCGCTAGAATAGTGAGCGTCAAATCGATCCATGAAAAATTCATAGCCCATTGATCGTGCGGAACTTTGGCTGCTTTGAACCAGCGAGCGGACGCCAAAGCACTATCAATGATTGTTGCAAGCATCATTAGCAACATGATACACAGTCCAAGGCAATAAATGAATGCTGGCCAATGTAGATGAAGCGCACGTAACGTGAAAAGGCCCGTCAGTGATACGATCTACAAAGATTAGAAACGGATAAATAATAATGCAGCTCAGTGCCAAACAATTTGCTGAAGATGCGCCCGGTGTTTGAGAGCATTCTAGTAACATCTGATACTGAATTAACAGACAGTTCGTCCAGGCAGTCTTGCTGTCTTGGTAATAGTTGAGACTAAGGCGTTCTATTAAATGTACAGTTTTAAATGTGCCGAAGTAATGGCGAGGGAAAAAAATTCAAGGGTAGAAGAGACTCGTGTTTTGAGCAGAGGACGGTTAATCCAGTGAGGGTGTGCGTGTGACAGGCAAACTCCAAAATAAAACCTGAGTGTACTTTAGCAAGGAAAAGCCTAGGGCAGAACATCGAAATATGGTTTGTTCAGACAAATCGAGAGATATGGTTTCGTTCGAAAGCATGCTGCTGTGAACAACGAAAACGACGCGAAAGACATCTTAAAATGGCTAAAGCCTTGTGTAGCAAGTATGCAGCTGAGCTACTAATCTCTTTAGGAAGCAAAGCGAAAGCCAAAATGGCCAAAAGTCTGGCCAAGAGACGTTGTAGCATTAGACAAAGCCAGTGGATATGTTACCAGCTACAAATTTAGACCGTCGTTCGCCGAACTGCTACTAATTACAGAAGGTAGGGATGACTGGCAGCTACGATTTTATAAATTAATAAAATTAATAAGCTAATACATAAGATTTTCTCCTATAAATTGAAACATAAAATTGACTTTTTGTTAAAGTACCCTTCAAAAAGAAGGGAAACTGGAAACTGTTTATTTCTCTTTTTGTTGCCAAAAATCTCTCATTTTAAAAAGTCCTAGCTATGTTAGCGGCTTAAAATTTTAAGAATTGTACGAAATCATACCAAATTGAGCAGTGGTATCCATATATTAGTCCCATCAGCGCAGTTCACTTCGCTGTACATTCCGCTGAATTGCATTCCCAAGCAAAAGCACAATGTGCCGAAAATGAACAGTGCTGTTGCTAGGAAGAAGTGTCCGTAGAGTAGCTGTGTATACAGCTTCCATGGCTTTTCCGGAATATTCAGTAAGGAGCATGCATTTACTCTCTGCAATTCAGAATCATTTACTTTGATCAGCTGTTGTTTCATTGTTGTGTTTCCTCTTGTCACTCATGCAACTGGCAAAAGAAGAAGATCAGCTCTGAATTATTAGTAAAACCGCTGTTATTACTCATTCATGATAATGATGACAAAGTGTTCCATTTAATTTTTTTCAAAGTGAAACAAACTGAATTTTCCTGAAGCTCTGCTGTGACAATGACAGTTGATCAAACAGTTAACAACTGAAGTGAAAGCCGAGTAACAGCAAGGAATTTTTTAGGACAGGAGAGGAGCACTACAGGATGTAGTCATAAAATTGTGTAGATAACATTGCACTTTACAACTTTATTGCATCTAAAACATGTGCACTTGCATCTGAACTGTAAGCTTTTTGGAGTTTGCCGATATTGAGAATAGGTATCGATTATCCTGGCGAAATAGAAATTCGTTATCAGAAATTATTAAAACTGCTTAGATTTGGAGTCAGTGTTCCATTTGACTTTACCATAAAACGCAGGCCCAAAATTCCCCCTACTGTTGAGACATCAATAAGGTTGAAAACAGGGCTTAACGATATTATAAAAAATATAAAATGAGGGACAAGGTAGGTTGCTGATGGCACCTATACTTTTTTAAAAGGACAAAAGGAAGGTCACCAAGTGGTAAAAGATTCTGTTTGGACAAAAAAAAAAACAGTACAATTTTATGGATAAGAAAGATTCAAAATAAAGAGGAATGGAGAAATTGCCAGGTTCATCAACGGCAAGAAGGAATGGAACGACGAATGATTGGTGTTTCAGTAAAAATCGAAGGTAACTAATTCAACAACCAGCTTTACCGGAATTTAATGGAAGTAATTTATCAGTTACCTCATCAAGATACAGAGCAACGTGCGTAAATTTTTTATTCAGTTCGCCTAACATTTCCCGGAAATCTGCGCATCGTCAAACTGCACGTTCTGATCTGGAAATATTTCATTATCAAGGAAGCAACCATGGACTCTTCAGTTGATATGGCACATTTTGTCATCGCATCCTAGGTAGGTGTGATAAAAAGTGATTTCTAGTCCTTTTTTCCCCGTTTTTAGAACTGCTAGTTAACAAGAATATCATTTGCGCTCGGCTAATTTCTGTGGGAAATCCCTTGTTAGCGATACTGTCTGTTTAGCGTCACTTGCCAAGCGCAGCAATCCTGAGCTGCGAATCTCCGATTATATCTACCGCTTACTCGCTACTGCTGCTTAATAAATTTCTGAGAACAGCTCATTCACTCAACATCAACAACACAGATTAAGAAGCATGCGCAGGTACGAAAAGCACTTACGCCTGCAGGAAAATGCGTGAAAAGCGCACCCAGTCAAAGCAACCTATTTTACAAGACTGGATAAGTAAAGGGCGTTGGCGCGATCATACGTTTTGTGCAATTCTACTCAGCGAACGCTAGTGCA